CCTTTTAAGAATACAGTGTTTACTTCATATGCTTCTTCATTAGCATGGTGATGAACGAAAGATACGAACTTTGTTTGTACTCCTAATTTATGACAAAAATCGGTATTTGTGGTACTGGAAAAATGTATTCTATTTTTCGAGACAATGACGCCTGGCAGCTCGAACCTTTACATGATGTTTTTCTAGTAGAAACATCAAACTCTTTCTATTATAATCTTGGTGACGCCTTCCGCCTTTATTCACTTTATGAAATTGTCGACTCCTACAATCAAGAATTTCAATTGCCCATATGCCAAGGGGAATTAGGCTAGAATGTTCATCCCCCATTGGTAGAAAGTTTAGGGTGATGAAAAGAGTGAAAGAGCCCAGTTGGTCATGATGTAAGTCAACGTGTCTTAGACACCTATCACACTTTTTGAAGAACGCCACATTTTCTTTCAACAAGGTAGACCAATAGTAGCTCACCCTAAGTAATTTTAGGTGATGGCCCTGCCGCCAATATGGCTATCGCATGCTCCTTAATGAACCTTGATGAGGACCAAGTAGGTCTCTTGCTCCCCCACACATCTTAGAATTGAGGAGACCTTTCCTATCTTATAGAGATTTCTTGCCATAAGGTTATGTTTATCAGCCTAATTTTTTACCTTCTTTGCTTCCCCCTCTTCCTAGGGGAGCTTATTTTCTTGAAAATAACGTAGTATGATCAACATCCAACTTAAGTTAGGGGAAGCTTCCAGGGTATATATTTCATTGATTATGGGGGCGCCAAGAGTCTCTTGTATCACTGTCTGATTGTATCCCGCCGTCTTTGTGCTAGCGAGTTTAGACATGATGTGTGCTATAAAATTTTGCTAACTGGGTACGTACTTCACTTCAAAATACTTTAAAAAATGTTGATAAATCTTTTACCATGTAGATATATTTTATGAGTTAAGGCTCTTTATCCCGGTACTCCTTGACGACTTGATTAACGGCCAGTTGGGAATCGCTTTTCACCTTTACCCTTGAGGCACCCATTTCTTGGTCAAGGACTATACCGGCTGTGAGATCTTTATACTCGGCCTAGTTGTTGCTAGCCCTGAATTCAAATTTCAATGATTACTGAATTAGTATGTTACCTGGCCCTTCTAACTCTATCCCAACGTCGCTCCCTTTGATGTTTGAGGCATCATCGAGCGACAATGTCCATTATGAGGGTGCATCTTTGTCTACTGGCAAGCTGAATTCCGCCAAAAAATATGCCAAAACTTAGGACTTGGTGCTTCCTCTTGGATGTATTAAATGTTATATTATGAAAGTTATATTATCCAATACATCATTCTTCTTGCTATATCTGGATTCTTGAGGACCTGTCAAACTGGGTAGTCAATTTTTATAAGCACTTTAAGGCTTTAGGGTCGGAGCTTCCTCGCTTTGATGACTACGGCCAAGGATAAATTTTTTATCTTCTTATAATGTACCTTGGCACCCTTGAACACTTTTCTTACAAAATACACGGGTCGCTCTACTTTATTTGTCTCTTGGACGAGTACTGAATTCATTGCCTAGTTTGTGACTAAAAGGTAGGGGAGCAATGGAGACCTTGCTCTTGGGCGATGAGGATAGGCGGCGATGTAAGAAAGACTTTTATTCTTGAGAATTCCTCCTCGCACTCTTCAAACCATTCTAACTTCTCCTTCTTTTTTAGGGTGGCAAAGAAAAGGAATGCTTTGTTGCCCACACGGGAGAGGAAACAAGATAGACCGACAAGGTAGCCTGTTAGTTGTTGGACTTCTCTGAAAATGGTGGGGCTTCTCATGTGGATGACGGCTTGGCACTTATCTGGGTTTTCTTTAATGGCCCCTCTTTATTAACATGAAGCCAAGAACTTTCGCTTGTACTCCGAAAGAGCACTTGGCGAGATTCAAGGACATGTTATACTTCCTGATTGATTGCAGGATGTCTTCTAATTCTGCTACATGAATATGCCCTTCTATGGTCTTTGTTACCATTTCATCGACATAGACATCCAAGTTATGCCCTATTTGTTAGGAGAATACTTTTTCCATGAGTCGCTAATAAGTGAAGCCTGCATTCTTGAGGCTGAAGGGCATGACATTATAATATTAGTTGTTGTGGTTTAACATGAACGTTGTTTTTGATGCATCAAGGGAATCCATTTTAATCTGGTTGTACCACGGGTAGGCATCCAGGAAGCTTGATATTTGGTATCACGATGACTCATCAATCAAGCGGTCAATATCTGGCAGGCGATAAGGGTCCTTGGACAGGTTATATTAAGGTCAGTCAAATCCACGCATGTGTGCCACTTGTTTAATGTTTTCCTTACCATGGCAACATTGGCTAGCCAGGTTGGGTATTTCACTTATGTCTAGGACATAATTACTTTTAATTAATTGATGACTATCATGCCTAGGATGAAGTTATAGGGTGATAATGTGTCCACCATGAGGTAATTGACTTTGATCACCTTAGAATCTGCTCTAGCATTGCAGATTATTTCCAGGGTCATGTAACCCTTTACATGCATCAGCTCCCCAAACAAGCCTACCAGCGAGCCTTAGAATGCTTTAATGTTGTAGGGATCGATTTTGAGTTTCTGTAATGTGATATAGAATAAGATGTATGATAAGCTTGTCGGGTCTATCAAGGATCTCTTAATATCCTAGTTAGCATAATATATAATGATGACCATGAGGTTGTTGTCATGGGGGTAGACTCTGACGACATCACTGTTAGAGAAAAAGATTGTGTCCCCTAGTATCCTTTGCATATCTTTGGAGGGTCATGGGTATATTATGTGTACGGTCAGCACTTGCCTGACATTTTTCCTCCAGGAGGAGCAAGAACTTCCTCCACCAGTGAAACCTTAGGCAATGGTACTAACCCTATAGATTGGGTCTTTCTTGGCCATTTTCAAGCGATAAAAAGGGATGAAATGGTGGTGTTAATGAAAGGTGTAACGCAAGTTAGTTTTACCAAGCACCATGATGGGCGCTATTGTACTTGCTAAAAAGTGCATGTGTGGCACCCCTATGCTGATAAGGGTAGCCAGAGGCTTTTAGAGTTTGTGGTGGTTTATGACAAGCTCGCGGTGGTGAGTGACCCTGTTTTTAGGTGATTTAGGTGAGGTGAGATATAACTCACAAGGGTGAGAAGCTCTGTCTATTGGGGATAGTTCGCGGTGAATTCAAAATGTCTCTTTAATCCCTATATTGAGATATTTATTGAGGCCTATGGGACAGGTTTTTAGGTTCTTTATGGAAATGAAAATTCTCACCTAGTAATTATGATGAAGCGTTGAATCCCTACTTTATAGGGAAACATGGGTTATTCCCTTGACTCCTTTTTAGGCGAGTGGGAGTGTCGTGGGCAATGTCATCCTCCTAAGGGCGATAGAATTCCACTACTCTTTGTTGGCGACATGGTTTCCTCACCCCTTATAGGTCATTCGCAAATATATCACTACAATACTAGATTTAAAAAAATTGGAATAAAATCTAAATGAAAAAAAAATTGATTATTCATTTTTTTATACCATTTTTAAAAAAAATTATATAGGTTTGTGAGTGCTAGTTGTAATGCTCATTATTATTTATTATTATCGTTAAGATCTTTACATTTTCATCTTTCTTAACCTAAATTCAATTATATAGAGTTTTCAACCGCAATATTTCATCTTCTTCAAAATTAAAATTAAGAGAATGTTAATATTACACAAAAATATTAAATAAATAGAATAAACTATACCTTTTTTTCTTTTTTATAGAGCTCATTATTCAAATCACTTAAAAAACTTAAGGAAAAAGCTTAAATATAGCCCATTGTTCCACATTTTAGTTAATGCTAATAAACTTTTAATCCACTAGGGTTGATTTGTTAGTGAAGGCTAAACTTGAGAGTGTACTTTTAATTCATTTTTCTCTTATTATCAACTTTTTCTCTCATATCCAACCCAAATTACATTGAAGTTACGATAAATTTCTCACCATAAAGTCACTTACAAAATTACAAAACATGCTCATTTTTAAAAATATATTTTTTGATGAAGGATTTTAGAAAGCTTACTCTATAATGTGAATATCCTCATAATTACTTTCCACAATTGGTAACTATTGTTACCCTTCAAAGCACAGTAATATCCCAACACCAACAATTATGTCTCCATCGTTCCTTCGAGCTCGAATAAACCTTCAAATCAAAACCATTACTATTGTCTTTCTGTTTACCATAATGTTTCGGAATGGGAGAATAACATACAAAACTCATTCGCGTTCTTCGATTGGGATAAGATTCAATGAAGTCAATATCGTTTAAGATTACAAAGAAAATTCAAAGAGAAGATAAAGAGAAATGGAATGTATATGAAAGTTACGAAGATTACAAAGAAAAAATTGATTAAAATTTTCAACCTAATTCAATTTAGAAATAAAAATGTTCATATATACAGAGAAGATGTCAGATAGAAGCAATAATAGTGATTACACATACAACAACTATAATATTAGGTAGGTCAAAGTAAACTCCATTGAAGAGAATTAGAAGGTTAAGGTTAAGACATGTCTAACATTATTTAAAAACCTATCACAAAAATAAGGACTTATAACATAAAATATAAATAAAAACATATACCAAAATGGAAAATAATAATAAAAAATAAATAAACAATTTTGGTTCAAAACCATAAATGTAGCTGAGGTACATGTTTAGTCATTTGTCTTATTAATCAGAACTCGAAATTCTGTTCTCCGCGTTCTGCTTTCGGTTCCTATTCCGTTTCTTGTTTGTTTGTGTTATTCATCAAAATCAAATCAAATCTTCAAATCACCACCGATTTCAATCTTCAATTTTTCTTTCTCTTTTCCTCCAAAATCGAATCTTTTCCATCTGGGTTCATTCAATTTGTAGTTTCCTTCTTGAATGCTATGTCGTTTTTCTTCAAATCTTGCTACTACTAGTTCTTCTTCCTACGGTTATGGCTTTGAATTTTTCCCACAATCATGACCGGTTCGCATTTGAATAGAAGCATTTCCATCAACAGAAGATCCCATTCTCAATCTCAACAGTCTCTTGGAAGTCCCAAACCCGTTTCCTCAACCCGTTTCGGATGTGTTTCTTTGGGTCTCAGGTTTCAAGTTCTTGTTATCATTGCTTCTGTTATTTCCTTCTTTATAGCAATTGGTGGTGGTTACATCTATGTTCTACCTAGTCTCACGCATGCTTTTTTTCATACACAAGGTTTCTTTTCTGATCAGAATAATAATAATAATAATGATACTGAATCTTTGTTTACAAAATGTGATGTTTTTGATGGAACATGGGTTCAGGTTTCTTCTGGTTACCCTTTGTATAATGCAACTGAGTGTCCTTTTGTTGAACAAGGGTTTGATTGTTTAGGGAATGGAAGGAGTGATTTGGATTTTCTTACGTGGAGGTGGAAGCCTAAGGGTTGTGACATTCCGGATTTTGATGTTGCTGCTGTTTTGGAAATGTTGAGGAGTAAAAGGGTTGTTTTTGTTGGTGATTCTATGAGTAGGACTCAATGGGAGTCTTTGATTTGTATGTTGATGACTGGTGTGGAGGATAAGATGAATGTTTATGAAGTCAATCAGAATCAGATTACAAAGAGGATTAGGTTTTTAGGAGTTAGGTTTAGTGATTTCAATTTTACGATCGAGTTTTTTCGATCAGTTTACTTGGTGCAGCAGGGTCAGGTTCCTCGCCATGCACCAAAGAGGGTTAAATCGACGCTTTTATTGGATAAGTTAGATGATATAAGTCATCAATGGATAAATTCGGATATTCTTATATTCAATACTGGTCACTGGTGGGTTCCGTCTAAGCTTTTCCACATGTAAGGTTCCATTCTTTTCGTTATTCCAAGTTTTCAACTGTTTTCGAGTTGCATTTGCCGTATTTTTTTACTGTAATGCTCTACAATATCGATGATTGCAAATTTGTAATGCGACCATGATCCTTAGTTTTGTTTATGTATGAGTATATCTTCTGCAGTTTGATTTTAATGCTATTCATTGCCTTGATGAATAGTTCATTATAGCAGCATAGCCGATGTTCTCTTATTAGGTTCATCGTCGTGATTTTAGGCTTTAGAGTTTACGTAACAGGTATACATGAGCTCGGAAGACATTTGACTCAAAGGGCTGTCTTTTTTTGTTGTTAATGATCCTCCTTCTTGCGTTCGACAGGGGTTGTTATTTCCAGGTTGGAAGCTCTCTGAAGCTTGGGATGTCGATTCCTTCCGCCTATAGAATAGCACTCGAAACTTGGACTTCTTGGATTGAGAGAGAGATTGATAAAAATAGAACACGCGTCTTTTTTAGGACTTTTGAGCCATCTCACTGGAGGTATTTATTATTTGTATACATGTCGCAAGTGATGGTTGATTTATGGAACTCTGCCAAGCAGAGGATTCACTAACCTTTGAAACCTTTTTATGTTTGCTGCAGTGATCAGACCCGTAGGACGTGCAATGTAACCCAGTACCCGACATTTGAAACTAATGCAACTGACCAAAACTCGTTTTCAGACACGGTTATGGAAGTTGTAAAGAATGTTGATTTTCCTATAAACATTCTTCATGTTACTTCTATGTCGGCTCCCCGCAGTGATGCACATGTTGGTAACTGGAATGATAATCCATTAAGTCAGGATTGCAGCCATTGGTGTCTACCTGGAGTTCCTGATATGTGGAATGAAATTATCCTGTCCCAAATTTTTCCCGAATATGATATCCCTCTTTGGGCAAATGGAACTGCACAGTAAGTTCAGTTCCTTCAGAAGCCTCAGATACTTCATTTTTACTTTCAAATGCTTCATTTTTTTATTTCTGGTTACAGATTAGATGACTAACATTCTTGGTAATTAAGACGCTGCTTCAAAAAATTCAAATTAATCCTTAGGAGTACGGACCAGATTTCATATATCGCTGCTAACACCGTAAGTCTGGAGCCATCTCGTACTGCGAATATTGACCTCTGCTATCTGCAACACTCGGCCGCACCAAATTTTGTGAATGTAATCACCAGATATAAATTTAATTTGTGTACCTAATGATCTACAACATACAGATGAAACAGAGTAGTTTTTTAATTGATTTTCCCATTCTTTGTATCCTGAAAAAGGTATTGTTTGGGATGTAACAATTTTGTCTGCATGTCATGACTTTTTGTTTTGGACGTGGCAATGCTATTGTTCTCCATAACAAAGATAAAGAGATGAAGAGTTAGAAATTAGAATCATTCAATTTCTATTATAGATTGTCATTGCTCTTTGTTTGAATGAACACGTTATATTTCTGCTTCATTATGGTCATCTTTTTGTTAAGAACAACCGTTAATAGAGCCAAAATCATACTAGTTTAACATGTAGTAGTCATTTTGCATATTGTCTTGGAAAGAGACCCTGGTTACCTCAATATCAGAAAGCGTAACACATGCTGCAGAATTCCTGCAGAGAAGAGGACATGCAATGAGCTGATAAAATCAGTTGCTTCGGTATTAGTTAATGAATTGGACAGATTTAATAGATCATGTATTTTTAGGAGAACCAGCATGTGATGAATCCATCAAACTTTTATCATGTATTTTTCTCTATTAAATGGACCTCTTAATTTGTTTTAAATAGAGAAAATCTTTACTCTTCAATGATATTAAGTAGAATCAAGAGTTGCTAGATCCACCTAACTTCTTAATGTGTTTTTTTCTTTTACTAGTGAAAGGACATCAGTGTAGGGTCAATGCGTCTTTTCTTTTACTAGTGAAAGGACATATTTATTTTTAATAAAATGTATTTCAGTCATAAGACTACTTAACCAAAAAAAAAAAAAAAACTCTACATTGCTTTGAGAATTGATTTCAAATGCAACGATTACTAAGTTGTGCTGTTGTTAAAGTAGGGGTCATATTAACCTCACAAAAGTCATTACATAAATATTAGTACATGAATAAATTATATTTTGTACTGTCTTGCCGTCTTCTTGCTTTTATCTTCAAACATACAATTGGATACTAGGACTAGAACAACAGCTTCACAAGAAAATCTCCAAAATGAAGATTTTTTTCCTCAAAAGATAAACATTTTAATTCAATTTATATTAATATAATGTAAACCAAAACAGGAAAGACGTGGGGTGATTTGGAAATGTTAGCCGCTCAAAATAGATGTACACAGGCGGACGGTAATGGAATTTCTCCAGAATTGAAAAATCATGGTTCAATGGCAATAGGAGTAATGCGCTTCCTGGCTGGCTTATTTGAGGCAGGCGTGCTCTTTAAACTTGACAATTGATTCCCTGTCTTTTCTGCTGGTCCTGGTTTTATGTCATTTAAACTTGGTTGTGGTTTATCTGCTTCACTTTGTTTACCATCTAGATTGGGTGATTGTTTCCTACTATCTGCTGCAACTCCTTCAATGACCATGTCGTCAGTTTTATGTTCTGCTTCAACTCCTTCAATGACCATGTCATCAGTTTTATGTTCTGCTTTGTTCTTCCTACTATCGGCTATAACTGCACTAACAATCTCAGTTGGCTTGATGATCATGTGATCGGGATTATCTTGTGCTATAGTTTTGCTGCTAACAGATGTAAATGCACCAATATCCCTAGATACTTCAATGTCCATGCCATCAACTTTTTCTTCTACTTCTGTTTTTCTGCTTTCTGCTACATCTGCACCAACAACACTCCCAGTTGGTAGTACAGTGTCGTTGGCTGTCTGCAGAGTGTTTTTACTATCCTGTTCTGAGACATTTCCTTCTAGAACAATGTGGAATAGGGAAATCAAAAACCTGGTACAAGTGAAAATGATAGCATGAAATGAAAAGGAAGTCTGCTTACTTGATAAACAGTAAGGTGATCCAAGTTCACCATCTTCGAACTCCACCAATGAGCAGAAGCCATCTTGCGAGGAGAATGCCAAATAATGGGCATCAGATGACCTAAAGAACAAATAGTGACTACAATTAAACCTTTCCCCGAAAGAAAGAAAAACATCTTAATTCTTCAAACTAGAAATGATTTGCTAGCCATCATGACACTTACCAGGTAATATCTGTTACTGGAGCATAGTGAAGACCAGCAAATATAGCTATTGGAGAAGTGCTCTCGGTGTCATAAATGTACAATGAATTCAATGTGGCAACAGCAAATACAATGCGATATGGGAGCTTAAATAACCCATCTGCAATAAACAAAAACAGTATAATGCATCAGTTAGGCAATACATTCTCTGAGACAAGCAGAATTTTAAAATACTAATTGGTAGGCAAAAGCAATTTTATTAAACTCATCGATTAATCAACTCGACAGGCGAACAGGGTTAGTGTCAATGGTAATTAATCAACTCGACAGGGGAACAGGGTTAGTGTCAATGGTAATTAATCAACTTGGCAGGGGAACAGGGTTAGTGTCAATGGTAAAACCAGTATACCGACAGTTAAACTACATGTACTATCATCAATAAAAGGAGTGCTAACAACACCCACTCTAACACTCTTTAAATGGGTGAACCTTGTATAGGTCCCACTATTTTAGGATCTGAGTCTCACATAAAATGGCCAGACCTACATACATTCCATCCAACAAAAGAGTTAGTGTTGGAAAGGGTGCTAGAATGCTTTTAATAATATGATAGAAATTGATATCTACACCGATAAAATTAGTAGAAAGAACAACAACTTATTTATATCAAACACTGGACTGTTATCTCAGAAGAGAGAACAGGTTCTTTTACAATAAAACAAATTAGAAATTAACACCTTGATTAAGGAAAGAGATAATCTACTACTGCAAGGCAATTCCTATACAAGAATTCGAGAGTAATTCAAGTGCTTGTCCCAATATGTTATCAAACTCAGCCATTATCTCGGCATAGAACCGCAAAACCAAGTAAACCGCGTCAGGCCATGCCATTCTGGCACAGATGGGTGACTCGGCTATAACTAACGCAATAATGAGATTGGATTCCGAACGACGCTATTCTGACACGGCTGCTCCGGCCTCATCGGCAGTATGTGATATAATATTACCCTTAAAAGTTTTAAGGATAGCAAGGCTATTTTATTGGCATTTGCAAGTATGCTTTGCTCAAGGCTTTATCGCTTTTATTTCTAAATGAATAGTAAATGAATTTTGATTAATTTATTTTAGTTTTTAACAATTGTGTTCATTAGTATTAACTGTATTAGTGTCCGCATCATTAAAATATTGGCTGTTCCGCTCTCCACACCAGGTTCCATTCCATTTTTGGGGAATGGCCGTGCCACGCCGTTATTCGAGATTGATAACATAGGTCCCAACCAATATTCAGTTCCAAATAACACAACTGCTGCCTAATGCATAACTACAGCCTGATAACATAAAATTGTCTAATTAGTTCAAATCATTCACTCTGAACCTCTAGGCTGCCTTTCATAATCTTAACTAGTAAGAGGTCTAACAATTCTTAGCCGGCTATGTGACATGCACCAGTTCATCAGCATGCCCGTTACGATAAAGTGATCAAACTATCTATGTGTACAGCTCCCAGTCAAATTTGTCCATGTTGGTTTTTTACCATTGGGCAAAAGGTTTCAGATTTAAGTTGGACCACATCCCACTCAGGCAATTCAATCAGAACAGTACCATATAGAACTGTTTATACATAGTTACTGTTTGTAAACATAAATATATCAAGTGCACCAGTACCTGAGTTTGTTCCCTTAAGATTGAAAAATATAGGACAGAACCGGACAGCTACAACAGCTTTGCTTGCACAGGGAATCTGTATGGCAGGCCTGCGTATTATGGTCAAAATAATAAAGCAGCACACATCATTAACGTATTTTGGTAACTTGCTTCTTTAGCTTAACATGAATAATTGAACATAATGACTCATTCTATATAATAAATGATTAAGCATACACTTTGGATTGTATAATGTCTAAGCTGAAAGACATACCGAGAAAGATCTTTTCTAGAAAATATGTAAGCCGCATTTACAGATTCAGCCGCAGTACCGATTTTGTAAGAACCTGAAATGGGTAAACGCGAAGTTTTCAACTAGAAGCAAACCATGTAGTAAAAGCCAAGTAGACATTCATCTCTAAAGGCAGAAAACAATATATATGGTTCAGCCTATAAGTTGAATCTAAATTATTCAGATGTTGGCTAAACAACAATGCAGTGGGAATGAAAGGCTGTCTGGACATCAGTATGCAACTAATACATAAATTTTAAAATTCAGTTAGCTTTAACTTTAACCACTTCATCCACTTTCTCGTAAATGGAATATGATAGACTATGAAAAATCCAAGAACTGGCCTGATTATATAATAATCTCTACGCAACTACAATAGCTTATCCACAAAACTAGCGCAAAAAAAATAATAAGAGATTAACTTCTGCATAAGTGAATACCTGCAGGCACAAGTAGAAATGAACCATCAGGAGACCAAGCTAATCTTCTAAAGAAAGAGGGCAATGTTTCGTCGTGGAAGAGATGATATTTTGTTGACTGCATTATAACAATTACACTTGATGTCCATGTATGTGACTATCTATCAATAGTGAAATCAAATACAAAAATAAGTATCTAAAACTAACCTTAGAATTCTTTAATAATGGCTGTTCTGCTTTGGAAATAACATGCTTGCAAGCGTAATTGATTCTCTCAACACCTTTTGATTTATGGGGTTTACTGATGTAAACTCGGCAAGTCCGGTCAGAACTTAGAGAAGCAACATACTTTCCTAAAGGGTCCCATGCTACCCCTTGAACATAGTGTGCATGGGTATCCAACGTTTGAAGATTAGTTCCTGACACAAAATGGAACAGGTGCTATGAGAACATAAACCAAGCATGCCTATTTCCA